GTACATATAAGTTGATCAAAGTATGTACAGGATCTATATGAGGAAAACTATGAAACTCTGAAGAAAGAAATTAAAGAACATCTAAATAAATGAAGAGATATTTTGTGTTCATGGATATAATGACTCAATCTTGTTAAGATGTCAATTCTTCCCAAATTGATCTATAGATTCAATGCAATCCAAATCACAATCTCAAGAAAGGTATTTTGTGGATATCAACAAACTCATTCTCAAGTTTATATGGAAAGGTAAAGGACCAAGATAGCTAACACAATATTGAAGAACCATAACAAAACTGGAGGACTGACACCACCTGACTTCAAAACTTACTATAAAACTACAGCAACCAAACCAAGACAGTGTGATACTGGTGTGTATATATATATATATATATATATATACAGACAGATCAATGGAACAGAACAGAAAGCCCAGAAATAGACCCATGCACATATATTCAACTGATCTTCAACAAAGGAGCAAAGACAATTCAATGAAGAAAGGACAGTCTTTTCAACAAATGATGCTGGAACGATTGGAAATCTATACACACAAAAAAGTACATGGACTCTAAACCTTATGCTTTTCACAAAAATTAACTCAAAATGGATCATAGATCTAAATATAAAACATAAAACTATAAAACTTCTAGAAGATAACCTAGGAGGAAAACTAGGTGGCCTTGGGTTTGATGATGAGCTTTTAGATAAATGCCAAAAGCATGATCCATGAAAGGAAAAATTGGTAAGTTGGACTTCGTTAAAATTAAGAACTTCTGCTCTGCAAAAGACACTGTTAAGAAAATGAAAAGACAAGCAACCAACTTTGAGAAAATGTTCATGAAACACTTATGTGATAAAGGACTAATACCCAGAATATACAAAGGACTCTTAAAACTCAACAATATGAACCCAATTTAAAAATGGGCAAAAGATCTGAATATACATTTCACCAGAGAAGACATACAGATGGCAAATAAGCATATGAAAAGATGCCCAACATAGTATATCATTAGGGAATGTCAAATTAAAATAACAAATGAGGGGCTGGCCAGTTAGCTCAGTTGGATCAAGGTCAAGGGTCGGATCCTTGTTCTGGCCAGCCACCAAAATAATAATAATAATAATAATAATAATAATAATAATAATAGTAATAATAATAATAAAACAAATTAGATACCATTATATGAGCATCCTTCAAAAAGTTCACGGAAATATAGAATTAAAAGAAAATACAAATCTTTCCATGAACTTTTTGCAGTACCCTCATACACTTATTAGAGTAGCTAATCCCCAAAATTAACAACACCAAATATTGACAAGGATGCAGAACAACAAGAACTCTCATTCATTGCTGGTAGAAATACAAAATGATACAGCCACTTTGAAAGACAGCTGGCAGTTTCTTATAAAGCTAATCACATTCTTACCATATAATCCAGCAATCACACTCCTAGGTATTTATCCAATTAAGTTGAAAACTTATGTCCACACAAAAACTTGAACATGAATGTTTATAGCACCTTTATTCATGATTGCCAAAAGTTGGAAGCAATCAAGATGTCCTTCAATAGGTGAATGGATAAACAAACTGTGGTATATCTACACAACAGAATATTACTGAGCAATAAAAAGAAATGAGATATGAAGCCAAGAAAATACATGAAGAAACCTTAAATGTACATTGCTAAGTGAAAGAAGCCAGCCTGAAAAGGCTACATACTAGATGATTCCAATTACATAACATTCTGGAAAAGGCAAAAGTACAGAAATAATAAAAAGATCAGTGGTGTGAGGGGTTCAGTGGGAAGGACAAGTAGATGAAGCACAGCAATTTTAGGACAGTGAAACTATTCCCTCTGATACTGTAATGATGGATGCATGACATTACGCATTTGTCAAAACCCATAGAACTGTACAACACAGAATGAACCTTAAGGTATGCACATTTTTAAAAAATCATTTAGGAGTTGGAGGAATCCCAAGGAAGAATACAGATTGTAACAAGCGAACCTAACTATATTACAAATGTATCAAACAACCTCACTGCAGGAGATGGGGGCTGGGAAGGTGCTGTCCTAAGTTACTTTGCAAGGGGCTGGCTGGTTAGCTCAGTTGGTTAGAGTGTGGTGTTGTAACACCCGGGTCCAGGGTTCTGATCCCTGTACTGGCCAGCCACCAAAAACAAAACAAAACAAAAAACTAAGTAACTCTGCAAACGAATGGAGTCTAAAAGACTAAAGGCAAAAGGGGTTGCAAATTAGCACTGTACTGTAGTTAGTGAAACTGTTTCTCACAGGGGAAACGGGTTAATAATTGTGATACCGCTATATATGTATACTGGAATTAAACAATTAAGTAAATAGATGGAGGATGGTGGAGCCAGGTTTCTCACCTGTGGAATGGGGGGTTACAGACAAGCAAGGGGAAGGAGACTAGAATGATCCACGTGGTAATGAATTAAAGCTGCAGACAGCAAGAACTAATGTTTAATTTAATATAGATACAAATAGTTACACATAGCAATATTTATGGATATGTACTTAAGGATATATATACAGGTTAGTATACATACATACATTTCTTTGCTGTGTCAGCTTAGAGGGCCTAGAAGCAATGACACCCCAGTAGCAACAACACACCTAGTACCTAGATCTTGGTTTCTAATATTTTCCAGTAAAAGGAATCAAGGTTCCTTGGAGAATTGGCTGATTCTAGGACTGGAGCAGGAAATATACAAGATGAACCTGGAACATCTTATATGAGGGTACTTCAAAAAGTTCATGGAAAGATTCAGATTATATTTTAATTCTATCTTTCCATGAACTTTTTGAAGTACCCTAGTAGTGCCAGAAAGTAAAAAGTATGTAAAACAAATAAAACAAAACCCCACAATGACTGGAGTATGTCAAAGAGACACAAGAGCCAATTTAAAGAGCTCCCAATGGCCAAAGCTGGAACAATTTGAGCAACAAAATAAACTGGTATTAGAATATAACCCAAAGTAGAAAATAAATATCCTTGGGTCCTTATTGATATAAATAATTGAATAAATTAATAAATGGGAGCAAAGAGAAAAATGTCCTGTGCAGAAGAATTCCAAGTAAATTATGCAGATGCTCCACCCAAAGAATAAGGAGCATAACTTCCCACCCCTTAAGTGTGGGATGCACAAAGTGACTTCCTTTCAAAGAGTACAGTATGGAAGTAGGGGTGAAGAGTAACTACAGTGGAGAAACCAGACAAACACTACTTTACCTAGGTGATCAAGGTCAACATCAACAGTCGTAAATCATAAATTTGATGTGATGTGACGAAAATGCACTTTACCTCTGTGATTTTGCTCTGAAAACCCATGACCCCAGTCTAATTACGAGAAAAACAGTAGACAAATTCCAATAGTGTGACCCTACAATATATCTGACTAGTACTCCTTAAAACTCTCAAAAACATCAAAAACAAGGAATGCCTGAGAAACTGTCACAGCCAAGAAGAGCCTAAGGACACATAACAATTAAATGTAATGTGGTATTCTAGATGGGATCCTGGAACAGAAAAAGGTTATTTAAGGAATAAACAATGGACTTTAATTAATTGTAATATATTAATATTAGTTCATTAATTATACCAAATGTACCATACTAATGCAAGATGTTAATAATAGGGGAAATGGTGTGCAGGAGCAGGAGCAATATGGGAACTCTCTTTACAATTTTTCCATAAATATAAAACTGTCCTAAAAAGTAAAGAGTATTAATTGTTTTTAAAGCCACTGTTCTTCCAGGTTTTCTGTTAGTTGCAGAGGAAATTAATCCTAACTAATAAACCTCCCCACTCTCAAAATTAATAGGTACAAAACATTCAAAGTCTTATGTGAAATTATGGAGGGCTCATTGACACTGCTCCCCTATTATAAGCTGAATTGTGTCCCCCTAAAATTCAGATGTCCCCCCAAAATTCCCAGTATCTCTGAATATGTGACCGTATTTGGAGATAAAGTCTTTAAAGAGATTATTGAGTTAAATCGAGGTCGAATGGGACTGGTGTTCCTAAAGAAGAGGAAATTCGGACATAGACGTATGCACAGAAGAAAGATCACGTGAAGACACAGGAAGAGGGTGGCCAAAGCAAAGAGGTCTCAGAGGAAGCCAACTCTGCTGACGCCTTGATCTCAAACTTCTAGCCTCCAGGATTGTAAGACAATAAATGTCTGTTAAGCCACCAGATCAGTGGTATTGTGTTATGGCAGCCCTAGCAAACTAATAGATCCGCTTAGCTCATCCACATGTTATCAGACCATTTCATCATAGAGGAAAGTGGAGCTCCAAGATATGTTTGGAGGGTGGGTGTTGTTACAAATCTCGACTGAGAATCTACCTACATCATAACAGGCATTTAGCTGGGCATTTTAACACATCTTATTATGAGGCAGGTCAGAGCTTTCACCCCATTTTGTACATGGGAATATTCAGGTCCAAATACATTAAATGGTTGGCCCAATCACTCAATTTGGAAGCAGCAAAGCTGGAATAGGATTCATACCTGTGGAGCCAGAGCCCAGCATCTCCTTTCTCAGCTGCCTTTCAGAGGTGCCTCTTCAGTGAAGACTGACTGTCCACACAATAGGTGAATTATATAATAATTACTATGGATATCTTTTACTGAGCACTTACAATGGACCAAACACTTACAATGGACCAAGCACTACGCTAAGCATTTCACCTACATTTTTCATAGAATCTTCCCTATGATGCTCTTATGCAGGCACTATTACCTTTGTTTAGAGGGAAGAGCATTGAGGTTCAGAGTGATTAATAACTTGCCCAAGGCTGTCCAACTGTCTGTGGAGGGCTGTCTGACATGGGCTGTCAAACCCATGTCTGTCTGTCTGTCTGTCTATCTGTGTCTGACTCCTAGGCCCATGCTCCCGGTAGCGCATCTACATCTGCAACCCAAGTCCCAACACATGGCAACTTAAGGGCACTGCCCTCAGGCACTCACTCACAACTTCTAGCCAGACCTTTCCCTCTGTCTTCTGAGGGATGACCACCACCTCACATGGATATTCTCCTGCTTCCTCCAGCTGGACCCCACACAGCTACAGTGAGGCATCCCCCCTCTCCAGCCTCCATGGAGACACAAAGGCTCCATGTCGGAATGCCAGTTGGTGATCTACAAAAAACTCAAATAGCTTGATCTCTATTCCAGTCACCTGGCTCTTCTGAAACCAGGTGATACCCATAATCTTGATGCCCAGTAGTGGGGTAACAGAGATACTGCAGAAGATGGTGACACTGTCATTCAGGGTCACAATCTGAGTCCTCCTTGCCATATGCACTGACAACCTGTGGCAATACAAGAACTCAGTTATGGGAGATCCTTGGAAAAAGCTTAGGCCTGGTACTCTCAAACACTACCATCTAATTGGAAACAAACACCTTTTGGCAGGAGGGGGAAGGGCTCAGTACAGAGGCCCTTAGTTTATGGCCCCTCATTAATTCACATAAAATTCCTCCATCTCATTTCTTCTTTTTCAAAATTATTTTGGCTATTATAGGTCTCTTGCAGTTCCATATAAATTGTAGAATCAGCTTATCAATTTCTACAAAGAAGTCAGCTCAGATTCTGATAGGAATTGCATTGAATCTGTTCCATTTGGGGAGTCCTGCCATCTTAACAATGTTAAGTTTTCCAACCCATGAACATGTTTCTGGGATGTGCTATGGACTGAATGTTTGTGTCCTCCCAAAATTCATATGTTGAGGCCTAATTCCCAATGCGATTGTACTAGGAGATAGGGCCGTTGGAAGGTGATTAGGTCATCAGAGTGGAGCCCTCACAACAGGATTAGAGTCCTTGTAAGGAAAGACAAAGGGGCTGGCCGGTTAGCTCAGTTGATTAGAGCACTGTGCTGATAATACCAAGGTTCAGGGTTTGATCCTTGTACCAGTCAGCTGCCAAAAAAATTTTTTTAAAGGTGATCTCTCTCTCTCTCCCCCTGCCATGTGAAGATACAGCAAGAAGGTGTCCTGCAAATAGGCATAGGGCCCTCACCAGAAATGGAATTAGCTGCTAGATTTCCCAGCCTCCAGAACTGTGAAAAATAAATCTCTGTTTAAGCCACCCAGTCTACGGTGTTTGTTTTGGCAGTCCAGCAAGACCAAGAAAAGATTTTTCCATTTCAATTATTTAGATCTTTCTAAATTTCTTCCAACAATGTTTTATAGTTTTCAGAGTATATGTTTTGTGTTTCTTTTGTTAGATTTATTCATATTTTATTCCTTTTTATACTATTGTAAATGGAATTTTCTTAATTTTATTTTTAAATTGCTCATTGCAAATGTTTACAATTACTATTTATTCTTTTTTATTTCCATTTCCCTCTCCCATCAGGCAAACATTCTGAGGTATTTATTTTTTATGTTTATTTTTTCCAAAGTCTGTAGCATTCTATTATGAAATGCACAGCCATGCTAACTTCACTATACAAACCATCATCCCACACCTATGAAACAAAAATAGAAACAGTGGCAGTTGATTGTCTTATACAAATTTAACCACATGGCAACCATGCCAAAGGAATTAAAACATTTTGAAGACATATGTACAGACTGTACATTCCAAAAACAATTAAACAATAAAAATGAACAATCTGATCAAACTCAACAATTGGGTGAAAACATCAATGCAATAAATGGGATTACAAAGGCGATTCCCTACACAAAAGAGGAAATGAAAACACAGCCTACAGAGAGCCTGAAGAGTGTGTAACTACGGCACAATCTCAACTTGGGCTGGGGGGAAGCAGATTTAATCAGATATTTACAAGATTCAATGTGATCCTCCTTTTCAAAAAAATTTCACACAGTCTCATCTCTTTTATGTTGTTTTTCTTGGCTGTCTCATTCTATACTTTGGCTCCTTCCATGATCATGTTTGTCTGACTGGTCCTTACTATCACCATGATCTCGTTTGTGGGAATATTCTTTGCTTCCACTACACTTTCTAGATTTTTCTTTGCTGGGGCTATGTTCCATTTTTTTTGACTTTTCAGCACTGTCAGTTCTTCCTTGACTGCCACATCTACTTCGTTTATTTGATTTTTCTTTTCTTTCACTTTTATATTTTCTTGATTTCTCTTTGTTTCCCTGCATTTCTACTTCTACTCCTACTTCTGTGTTTCCCTTCTCTGCTTCTACTTCTCCTGTGTTTTTTCTCTTTCTTGGAATCTTTTTTGTCATCTCTGCCGCCTACCATCTCTGTCTCCTTTATGTGTCTTCTCTACCTCACCCCTACTTCTCTGCTCCTTGGACCGTTCTCTTGACAGTTCACTCCTTTTTTCTCAGTCATTACCTCTTTCCATATCATAGTCACCAAGTTGTCTTCTACCTCTCATTTTCTTTCTCTTTCCTGATCCCTGTCCCTTCTAACCCCTTTCCTATCACAACGTCGTCTGTGACTTCTATGACTTTCCCAACTCCTGCTGTGCCCGCGTTCTAACCCACAATCAATACTTCAGGATCTTCACCTTTCTCCCTTTCTTCGGTTTCACTCTCTAGTTGCTGGCATTCTTTCTTTCTTTCTATTTCTCTGTCAAAACTAGAAGACCCCTGGCCTTCCCAATGAGACTTCTACTTCTTGATCTTCTTGGGGACCTCGGTGGACTCAGCGATCTCCTTGGAGACCTTGAACATCTGCTTTCANCATTCTTTCTTTCTTTCTATTTCTCTGTCAAAACTAGAAGACCCCTGGCCTTCCCAATGAGACTTCTACTTCTTGATCTTCTTGGGGACCTCGGTGGACTCAGCGATCTCCTTGGAGACCTTGAACATCTGCTTTCAACATGTCTATTTCCTCAGCACCTTTCTCCCCATCCTTCTTGATTTTTCTAGGTTGGGTTTTAATCTGTTAATCAATATTTTTCTGAACCGGAACTGGAATTCCTGGAAACAAGGTAGAAAACCACTCCAGTTTTGTGAGAAAAGACTTTTTCTCCAATGGTCATTACACAGCCTCCACCAGCTTCCACATCTAGGTCTTTTTCCTCAACAAGGAAGAATTCAAATCCCATGGACCTGTAGGGGAGTGCTCAGGATAAAGATAAGCAATAAAGATTTTATGGGGAAGGTTCCAGAGGGGAGAGGCCACGTTGGAGTGCAGTTATTCCATTCTCGTGGGTGGGCCAAATATAGAAGTTACAATCATTGCTTACAAGCTACATTAGAAGGTTAAAATTGTCTATGTGCAGTTTCAAGCAAAAAGGCTTTATACTTCAGGTGTTTAAAACAATAAAAAAAACTTTAAAAAATTAAAAATAGAAAAAAAACCAAATAATAATAAACAATTACGTGACTGATTTCAGATTATACAGTAACCAGTGTGTTGCAGCCCTAGCCATTCTATCCTTAAGAACGAGATGTGGACACTGAGATCATGAAACAACCCAAGGCAGAGACTGGGAATCAGCTTCCATTCCTTCATCAAGGTCATCTTTTCTATTGGCTAAGTAAACTGAGGCCAGAATCAGTTTCGCTGGTGTGGCTCTGATGATGACTGCAGTTAGTGAATGCGGGAGGGCAGCGCACGGGTCCGGGGCGACCAGCTCTTACCATTGCATGATAAATTTATATTACTTAAAAAAAATTTTTTAATTACTTAAACAGAAAGGTAAATCTCCAGGACACTTAAGTTAAATGTCTGAAGGTGGCCCTTATTTTCCCATCCCCTTAACTAACCAGGAAGTGATTTGTGACTTCTGGAGCAAATCCTGAAGTGCTCCTTCAGTGATTACGTTTTATTACCTCCAGACCAGTTGGAAAATCTATTTAACTGCAGAGGTCAGAACACAAGGAATTAACCCAGAAGTTTTATCATTAGTTATGAACGAGCTTTACAAGGCTACAACAGAAGTCTTACAACTGCTGAAAATATGACAAGCTGACTTTCTGGAGAAAACTTGAGAAGATGTGTTAAGCTCTGCAAGAGGATTTGGAGATTGCATTGTGGTCGAGAATGTACAATGAAATTAAGGCATACGGCAGTGTAGAAAAAATTTTCTTTTTAAAAGAATTATAAAACCATGGCTTTGTAAAACCATGGCTTTTTTTGAAAGTGGCTTACAGAGAGAACTGTCGAATGTGTTTACATCGCCATCTCATCCACTTATTTTTTTAACGGCCCTAATACTTTGGCATTGCCATGTTCATATTTATGTATTCCTTATTTATAGCTCTGATAGCTTTAATTTTCTAAGCAGTCCACCTGTCAGATGTACACATCTGCTGTGCCTGGGTGAAGTATAACGGAACCTATCAGTAGCGAAGTGCAGTAGTTATGACTTTGACATTTTTCTTATAAAATTTAATTTTGAATTGTTTATGCATAATAACTATGGATTTATGTTGTATGGGGCTGAAAGTTGAGAGGATTTCAGCCATCATTTGTGAATTTTGGTTTAGGCTCATTGTTTATATCAGAATCTCATTTTTTAAAATAAAAGCATGGGGGCCAGCCTGGTGGCGCACTGCTACAGTGCGCCGCTTGGGAGCGTGGTGGCGCTCCTGCCGAGGGTTCGGATCCCACATACAGACCGGCCGCTCACTGGCTGAGCGAGGTGCGGGAGCAACACCAAGGGTTGCGATTCCGTTGCCGGTCCCGGTCTGGTACGGGCGCGACACTGAGGGTTGCGATCCATTGCCGGTCACGAAAAAAGACAGAAAGGAAAAAATAAAATAAAATAAAATAAAATAAAATAAAAGCATGGAAGGGGCTGGCTGGTTGGTTCACTTGATACGGGCCAGCCGCCAAGAAAAACAAAAAACATAAGAGCATGAAAAACATTTCCTGTAATCTGCTATTTAACAAAGAATATTTAGGTTTTTAAACAGCTTGTTGGAAAGTGAATAGTGTGAACCAGATCGTTTTTGTATTGATTGAAAAATAAAACTTTTAGAAACATTTCGAAGTAAGGACAGTGCTTAGCTTAGTATTATTTGTAGTTTCATCAGTTACATCTAATGAGAATGTTAGTTGAGAATATTTTTCTTTCTAAGTTTTATACCCTATAAATAGAGACCTAAAAAATGTATAAAATGAAACATAACAAACATGAAAAAATCCTTTTTACTTTTATTGCATAAAAGTAATTTGCTTACTTAATAAATCTTCAGTATTTATTTAATAAATCGTTAGACAGGTAATGTGTTTCAATGATATTTATCATTTTTCTGAAGAAGTAAGGATTTCTAGTTATTAAACAAAAACTAAATAATCAAATGCTCTGTATCAAGAATTATAAGTATGACTTTCTAAAATAATTTTGTGTGTCATTAT